GAATGAATATTAATGGGTGGACTTGACTCAGACTTTTGCCGTCCTTGTAATTGCTTCATGATGCACAAAATAAAAAATTCATTATCATGGCCCTAAATTACTAATTTTTCACATTCAGAGCTACTGTTTTGTTAACCTTGACTTTGTTTCTTAGCTCACAAAAGATATTTTAAACAGAAGTTTAACCTTGAATTTGTCTACTTGGTGGAAAATGTCGCCATTTCATATCCCCTTGCACTTTCGTGGAGACCTTTAGGCTGTAATTGATGGTTCTATTATATATCAAGGTATTGCAGACCCTTCTGTTACCGGAGATATTGTTGGACGCTTTAACACTCCGATGAGACAATGCAAGAGCCTAACGGTGCTCCCAAAGGCCAAAGTTTTTATATTTTTAACTCAACATTGCACCATCTGTCTTAGGTTGGGATCTCCTCCTACCAGGACCACTTCTGGGAAGCTCAGTACTCTCCTCATATCAGGCGGTCCAACCATTTGAAATAGCTTTTGTATTACTCAGAATTACTGGGTGAAACAATGAAGAAACCAGCACCATTGGGTGAAACAAGGTGTCGAATCGAAATAGTGTTTCTGAAGAGTTAACAATACTATTTCAAGAGGTACCTTTTGCTGTAAATGCGTGATATAATTGTCTCCCACATGGCAATGGAATTTGCAACAAAGGGTATGATATAAGTTATGTTCACGTTTATACCAAACATATTTGAAATATTGCCAAGTGAGGCATGATTAATCAAAAGAAAAGCAAAAAACTTTGCAAATTGAGCTAAAAGACTTAAATCAACATAATGCAGAATGATCCAAATCAAACTTTGTTGCAGTTCCTACTAGTGCTCATCTGGAGCTTCTTTTCAACAAGATCTCATCCATCTACTTGCCTGAAGTGCTTCTTCATCCACAGCTTTCAGCTCTCTTCTTACCCTTCATAATCAGCTTCTTCTCTATAGCCCTGTTCTTGCAATCGTAGAAATATATCATGCAGGCAACCCACTTCAGCACATTCCCAAAGCAGAACAAGCTAACCTGTGCAACAAGACCAATATAATTCCCTCTTTCATAGCTGCCAATGTAGAGGCATGGCAACCTTAAACCTACTTCCCAAGCACAGAAAATAAGCATCAAAATAAACCCTTTCCACTCACAACCACTGGTGAGATATATTGCTTGACCCAATGCCTTGATTCCACGTGTCCCCTCCAAAATTGAAATCACAACACTCACATTCCATACAGAACTCCATGCCAAATACATTGCTAGCAATGCTACAAAAGATGGCCAACAAAGAACAGCATAGGAAACACGATCATCCATGACGCTGAAGTCCCTGAAGAGAGCATAGTATGTTATTCCTAACCATGCCAATCCTAGAAGGGTACAAGTTGACAAGAAAAGAACATAGACATATGTAACAAATGTGCCCTTCAGTCTTGTTTTGCCAAAGGGTCTATGCACCATCTCTTTGAAAGTTATCGTTGTCGGCATCTCTTCCGTGTATATCTTTGATGCCAAATGGACAATCAAAATCGCAGTGCTGAGCTTTAGGAGATGGAGAGGCACCAGATAGAGAAGACCAAGATGAGTCAACTCATGAGGAAACTCTTTGTTCAATTTTGTGGCTATGTCTAATGGTATTGACCAACTCAAGTTGAAGTAAGCATTGTAACCATGGACATTGTTGTGGGGTGGATTTAGAATTTTTGAGATTTCAACCAGGGATTTTTGGAGAGAAGACTCATAGTAAACCAAGAAACAGAACAGAGGAAGGGAGGTGAGAATGGTGAAGATAAAGAAGTTGGTGTTTCTTGTAGAGATTATAAGAGCTTTTCTGAGAATACCGAAGGCTTCAAGTTTCTGATTTTTCATGATAAGGTTGCTTTCCATCTCCATGCCTTCACTTCCAAGCTCGACCCAATCACAATTGAAACTTTCTAGGTGGTGAGCATCAAGTCTTTCTTGGTGGATACAAGGAGTGAATATTGATAGGGATCAAGGGTTGCCTTGACTAAGACTTTTCTTCTTCTGCTTATTGTTTCATGATCTAAACAATTAATACCATGGGCCCTGCCCATCAGAGAACAGAGCTGATTCTCATTACAGGTCAATGAACACCAAGTCTTTCTTGATGGCTGCAAGTGTAATGAACATTGATTGGGATCAAGAGTGGACTTGACTCAGATTTCCCTGTTTTGCTAATTGGGTCATGATTTTAAAAAAAGAATACCACAGGCCCCAAGTTGCTAATTTTTCGCATCTGTAGCCAATGTTTAGTCAATTTAATAATCAAGGACAGGACAGTCCACCATTTGACATAGTTTATTGTATTGAAATCTTGAAGATACTGTTCTAGTTTTTGTGATTGGATTCTGTTTCCTCTGTTCTCTCATTATACTTCCCAACTACATTTATATTTCCTTGTCAGGTTTCCTCTTTAAAATCCGATTTTACAATTCAGAAGTGTCAAATGGCAAAGTGAGCATTTCCAAGGAAATATTTCTTTTCAAGTTTATATCAGATTTATATGAACTTTTCCAATTAAATTCATACATGAGTAATTAGCACAAAAACACCAAATTTGATGGAGAAAAACCAACATAATGTGGAAACTGATGGAGAGTGAACTTGCTGCAGTTTCTAGTTGTTCTTTGGAGTTTCTTACCAGATCACTTCCATGTACTTTCTTGTAGTGCTCATTCCTTAACAGCTTCCACCTGTGTTCCAACTTCATCATCAACAGATTCAACACATTCCTTCTTCTTGAAAGCCCGGTTTTTGCAATAGTAGAAATATACCATACAGACAACCCACTTCAGGACATTCCCCAAGCAGAACAAGCTAATCTGTGCAACAATTCCATACTCTCTTTCATAGCAGCCAAAGTAGAGGCATGGCAACCTTAAGCCCTCTCCCCAAGCAAAGAAAACCAGCATCAAACGAAGCCCGCACCACTCGCTACCTCTGCTGTAATAAATTGCTAGAGCTAATGCCCCAGTTCCATGAACCCCATCCAACATTGAAATCACAAGACTCATATTCCATACAGCACTAAACGCCAAATACAGAGCTAGCAATCCAACAAATGCTGGCAAACACAGTGCAGCAAAGAACACATCACAACCGAAGTTCCTCAAGACAACAAAGTAGGTTGTTACTAACGATATCAATCCGAGTAAAATACAAGTTGACAAGAAGAGAACATAGACAGATGTAATGAAAGTGCCTTTGAGTCTTGCTTTGTCAAAGGGCTTATTTACCATTTCCTTGAGGCTCATCATTGGTCCCTCTTCTGTATATATCTTGGATGCCAAGTCAACGATCACAAGCACAGTGCTGAGCTCTAGGAGATGGAGAGGCACCAGATAAAGAAGACGTAGTTGAATCAACTCATCGAGAAACTCTTTGTTTAGTTTACGGGTGATATCATTCAAGCTGCCTGTTGGCCATATACTGTAGCAGTAGTCGTAACCAGGGGATTGTTTCACAATTTCGAAGATTTCAACCAGGAAATTTTGGAGAAAAATTTCTTAGTAAACCAAGAAAAAGAAGAGGGGGAGGGAGGTGAGAATGGTGAAGATGAAGAAGTTGATGTTTCTGGCAGAGATTATAAGAGCTTTTCTGAGAATATCAAAGGCTTCCAGTTTCTGGTTCTTCTTCACCATAAGGTTGCTTTCCATCTCCATGCTTTCACTCCCAAACTCCATCCAAACACAATCAAGAGACTTTGTAAATGAACATGAAGTCTTTCTTGATGTCCCCAGAGTGGGGAGGCAGGAGTTGACTTGACTCAGACTTTTACTCTTTTTCTAATTGCAAAATGATATATAAAATAATACCGTGGTTTCCAAGAACATGGTGAGAATCACAGTAAAATCCAAGCCATTGTTTTGTTAACTCTGAATTTGGTTCTTAGAAATAAATTTATATAAAAAAAGAAGGTAAACCTTGAAATTGTCTACTCGGTAGAATTGCCAACAAACCATTTCTTCGGCCCTTGTACTTTTGTGAACCCATGTAACTTTCAATTCAATTAATTTAGCAAAAGCAGCAATTACGAACTTTTGAATGAGAGATCTTATAGCTTGATCTTAAGAATTTATGGCAACCTTGTTGTGACAGTTTTGCAATCGTAGTAATAAACTGTGAGAACCACCCAATTGATAACCTTCCCCAGGCACACGAAGCTTGTGTCAAGGTAATAGTACGCAAGTATATGTGGGTAAGTCCATGTGGCAAGGAGGGATGGCAACTTGAACCTCCAAACAGAATACAGAAGCATCCAAATGAGCCCTCTTAGTCTATTTCCTTTGGTTAACTTTGATGAGGCTGAAAGGGCAATTCCTCTGTTCTCCTCTAAGATGGAAACAACAACACTTAGGTTCCACCAGGCACTGTACTCTGCCCATTTAGCAAAGGCCACACCATAAACTATCAAATGCAAGCCCCGCGACAACCGAGTTGGGCAGCCTGGTAAAAGTAACGGCCTAGCATAAAGCCAATAGTCAAGAACACTTGAGGAAAGAGAGCACAAGAGGGACACAGACAAGAATGGAAACATAAGCTCATGCCACCTTGTTTTGGTTATTGAATTTCGAAGAAGATTTCGGAGACCCATTGTTGACCTCTCACTACTAGTACAGATTATTGAGGCAGCATAGATAGTTGTGAGGGCACTGAGGAAGTCAACAAAGACAGAGAGGTAAACTTCCAGAATTTGAATGGTCAGATTTAGAGCCCGTGACATATTGCCTCCATCATTAGTAAGAATTCTTAGCTGATATATTGCCTCCTTGATCAAACTAGGCTGGTAATTATAAGGCAATTCATGTATTAATCTCATGCAAAATAGTGGGAAGGAGGTAATCAATGTTAAGGCTATGAAATTGGGATTTCTAAATGGGATTTTCATGGCTGATTCGATTAGACCTACGGTGCCAAGAAACCATAGCTTAATCTCAGCAAATTTTGGGTTCGCCATTCCCTCAGATGTACCACTACGAAGTTTGAATACTGTGGGTCTTGCATTGGTTCCCTCTTCAATATATATGGCAGCAGTGCATTGACATTGTGATACAAACTCGTATAATTCTAGTTTTGTTTCCATTAGAATGGTACAAATCTAGCAGATGCCTCCTGTTAGTTTATTTTGGGGTGATAATCCAAAGCACATCAAATATTAAAGTAACTTGCATTATTGATTATTGAAATTTCCAAAGAAGTAAAGGACAACAGCGACATCCATTACAATGTTAAAAGAAGCCCATTCCAGCCAACTTTCCCAATTGTGTCACTTCGGCCTACTCGGAATCTGGGGCCCCTTTTAGTATAGCCGCGCGGATATACTAATTAAAATATTTTCCACACCCTCATTTTCAATACAAGTATTTTTTTACAAAATTTTCAATAATACATACAAAATTCACATATTATACAATATAGTTCACTAACTATGAAAGGATGTGAGAGGCTAAGATTATTGCAACAAAAATGCAAGATAGTGACTTGTCCGCCATGATCGTCATGTAAAGTACGCAAGTACTAAACCATAACATTTGTTTCATAATTGCCTACTGTGAACCAGATCGGCATATCAATTTACAAATCAACAACGAAAATACAAATCAAATAGAAATGAAAAATAAACATTGCAACCACCAAGTTTCAAGGGTAAGGGGAAAGATCACTTGAGTCATGACCAACCACAAGCCAAACAGGGTTGTCATGCCTGACGGTCCTCAATGATGGATTCAGTTCTTCGGTCAAGCAACTTAAACATATTACGCGATGATTAAAATCTTATGTATGCTCGCGGTGTGTGGTTTGTAGAACCGTGCAAAGATAAAAGTGCTACAACAAGAAGATTTCAGAGGCAAGTCTTAGGTCTTGACGATGATGAGTTTGTGACGTACTCCACAAGCGAAAAAGGTCTGCAGTTCATCTCGACTCAGTGGGTAGATTAACCAACAATACTAAGTACGCTCTAAAACTAATACCATGGATGCTCTGGCTTTCAACCATTGATAACCAGACTCTAGTGAGGAGAACCAATAGGGCAACAACAGCTTCACCTTCTTCCTCCAGCTAGTAGAGAACTAAGAAGTGAAAGTCTGTCTTACTATGACAGAAGCACTGTTGACGATGATGACACTAATATGGTCAGATGCAGCCAGGTTTCTCAAGTAAAACAAGCAGATTAACGTGCAGACAACCAACAAGTACATGTTGTGCAGAGGTGCAGAGAGGGGGAAGGCAATAAACAGCTTCATCTTCTTGAGCCAGCTAATGAAAAAGATTTATTCAGGAAGCTTTGTTGCAGCAGACTGCAATAAAAAAGGTGCCGCATGCAACCAAAGTAGAAAGTACCAAAGTTTCTAGATATTCCAGTTTCACTGAACAATATGCAGAAGCAACAAGAAGTAGAATACTCTGGAGGACGCAGAGATGGGAACCGTGAGCACTAAGATGCAGTAAGTGGCGAAACGAAGCCGTTTTAGCCGAAAATCACACCTCAAATCAAAACAAGCAAACTTTAGGAACCTCTAATGCAAACAATGAAATCCAACCACAAAGGACAAATTCACATAAAAATAATATATAAACAGATATAATATGGCAACTTAAAAGTAGGAAAAGGACCTCTTCAGTACGCTGAAGCGAGAAAGCCGACGCAAAACGGTGTCCAAGGCACCCCTTTTGGTGGCAAAAACACTTCGTAGAAGCAAGCCATCCAAATCCAAGTTTCTAACAAAACCCATAGTCACAACATCGACATAACTAACATGATTCTCGTCAGTTCAACCAATCCTATTAGAACTATAATATAGCAGAGATATCATCCCTTCAGGTCATCCAGCATTTGCTCCAATTCCAGCTTAGTCCCTGCAGAAGACAAACAAACACATGAATCAGCTACTCGTAGAAATGAACAAGAAGTGAAGTCCTCTAATACATAACACCATCCAAAATACACTTGCTCAACCTTACATTTAACATAATTTGTAAAAAGAAACAGCAAGACATTGTACAGCCATGACTTACCCATTGGCATAAGGTGAAGCACGACGAGCAGGGCGATATGGAGGAGACCTACTGTAGCTTCGTCCACGTCGAGGAGGTGTGACACTACGGCGTCGTGGAGGAGATCTTCTCCTACGCGGACTATAGCTCCTGCCACAACATAAAACATTTTTCAGTGTAATATTTTCAGAAAACTCAGCAGCCACAAGGCAATTAGTACAAAATAATTAGTAGGGTTACTCAGAATAATGTATCAAATATCACAAGTTTCAAGTCACATCCCATTTCTATGTGAGCTGGGAAACAAAGCGCAAGAAGGATGTGGCGAAGAGCATAATTTTACCACAAGATGTACAATGCAGAGGAATAAAAAGAAAGACATAGGTCTTCAGTATACCTGCGTCCATAACCATCATAACTGGGACTTCTGCGGCGTCGAGGGGATGGACTTCGGCGCCTTCCACTACCCAATCCTCGTGAACCAATACGCAAGCGACATTCACGAGCAAAATGACCAGGTTCACCACACTCATAACACTTTAAGTCCTCACCTCCACCGCGCCCGCGTCCTCCACCACCACCACGGCCTCCACCACCCTTAGAATTGTGAGAAAGCTCAACACGCCAACCATTTTTTCCTGTAGAAACAAAAATGGGAATAGGAAGCTTTGAGATGCTACAATGGTGAAGATGATAATGTTGATGATGATGATATATTATGATATGATAATAGCAAAAAACTCAAACACATGGTGTACAGAATCTATCATAGAATATGATGGACATGCCTCTTCTGTGTGGCTTAACATCTTTCTCTAACAAAAATGGGCTGACGATAATAGACACGCTAACTATAAGCAATAAGTAACATGCATCTGAAACTATAGTTTAGTTCAAAAGGATGGGCCTGTGGTATCCTCAACAGGTGGAAGCTTCAACAAATTATAACTTGCAGTTGCTAAAGGAAAACTATGGTGTCAAACCAAATTGGAGTGGTAGAAGTGTCAGACAAACCATCCACAGCTTGAATTGCATCTAGAGCATCCCGGCGATCGTCAAATTCAATAAACGCATATCCAGGCGGTCTTCGAGCAACCCATACACTGTGATCAATTATATAAAAAAGTACCAGCACCAATAAATCTCACTGAATCATAAAATAACTATTGCGACTCATTCAAACAATGAAAAAGTAGAGGCATTTAGTAAGAAAGGAAAATAACCCTCGAAGAACACCGAACATCCGAAATTCATCTTCCAAATCCCTTTCATTCACTCGAGGATCCAAATTCCCAACATAAACCCGAGCCATCGTCGCAAAACCACTTTCAACCTAAGAAAACATATATATTTATACACATATATAAAACAGCAAAACCCATCAAAAAAGAATAATTTATTTTCCCCTTAAACTCATCAAGGATCGAACTTTTCATCCGATAAATTAATAATACTTTGGCTTTATACTTATTCTCAAAGTCTACGATATGTGAAACGAAAAAAGAGAGAAATAGCATCGAAATATTACCTTCGAAAAACCGCTAGAGTATTTGAGAGATGAACGATCGGAGCGACAAGGAAAAGAATTGAACGCTCTGCGCGTAAAATCGCAGAGCTCGAATAAACCCTAGAACCAGAAGCTATTTTGCGTTTTGCTTTCCCTGCTTCTTCTTATTCCACTTGTGAATGCGCGTTAAGTCAAATGGAGCCCAACTGGCCCACTTTTCATTATAATTCACCAGGCCCAGCCTTCTAATGTCACATAAACGACATGCCGTTTTTGTTGAATATTCCACGAATATGCGGCAGGTGGGTATTTATGACATCATCGTAGGACCCTACCTACCAACAGGCTGGTCCTGAGATTTGAGGGACTTATCCGAAACTTTAATTGAAACCATCATATAATTCAATATGAAAATACTAGGGTTTAGGGTTTAGTATTTTATTTTTTTAGGAGAAATCATATGAATGTGATATATACAAGGATATGCACTAGAAACCATCTCCACTAAATATATTTTTGTGTCAATGTGTTGCACGCTTGAGTATATATAAAAAATTTATAATATTAATATAAAGTATATAATAATAAAAAATTTGAGGCCCTCAAAAATTGGGGACCCTATGCAGTGACGCCACTTACACCAAGTTAGGGTTGCTCCTACCTACCAATAACAGAAGAATGACCTTATAAGAGCATCTCCAAGAATTTAAGTCCCATGATTTCTTTACATTTGTTGATGGTGAGATTTGACATCCTCAAATAACCTCCTCACTTTAAGCCTCTCCAAGGGAGATGTCAAATATCAAACATCAAATTTAAATTTGATGGCTGATGTGGCAATTTAACATTTACATAGTTTTACACTCCACCCGATATGTCAAATAAATAATTATTGTAACAGTCAAATCATTTAAGATAAAGAAGAAAAAAAATATAAAAACGAAAATAATAAATGAAAGAAACAACCAACTATCTTTAAAAATAATAAAATATTCATTTGACATCTTGCTTTTGGGATGTCAAAAATAACATCTCAACCTCCAGCCTTCATTCCATATCAGCTTTGACACATCGGTTGGAGTGATGTGAGATATTATTTCTAACCGTTAAATGTCTATGTGGCACTTTTGACACATCGGTTGGAGATGCTCTAAGGCTTGTAATTAATACAGGCATTTTATTTAGTAAATTTTATAGTCTAAATTATTCTAAATCATTTTAATTTACGAGAATATAGATCGAATTCGGGTGTAACAAAACGTTTCACCTTCTCATGATGTTTTTTTTTCAATTCATTGTTCATAGTTCCAATGCCTTTTTTTAATTCGTCATCATCACGTTTATTTGGGCTTAAATCTCTAGTAAAACCCATGATTTTAACAGGACAAAAGGTCAAAAATGACCAGCGTAATAAGATACTTTTCGTATGTGAATCAGTGCACGGATAAGTGTGA